CGCCATTTCTTTCATGTTGGTATCTATTCAAAATTTGCTACTTTTCATATAAGTATAGTTTCAAGCCAATGGTATCTAGATCCTAATGTTAAGCCAAATGATCTTCTGCAACAGTACTCCTCTATTCCAGTATGTGATACAGTTCGATTGGAAGATAATATATTATTTAAAAAAAATATCGACTTTCAACATTTCTTTTCTATTCAAACTAATTCATATAGTGCTCAATTATATACACCTACAAAATCAGCCAAGGCTATATATGCTGAATTAGCTGGGTTATCAAAAAAGACTATTGATTGTGCTATTAAAGTTAATGCCCAACATAATTATTAAAATTTTTTAAAATATTTATTTATGAATTTAGCATATGACAGACGAATCGGAGGTAGAATATTTCACTGAAATTAACAACCCTATTGTTATCAAGCACAGAGGATGACCTTTAAAAAGACTAAAAGCAAGTTGTGAAATGGCTTTACATAAAGAAAAAAGAATTCTAACAGATAGTACAAATACTAATACTAATGAAACAGAAGATAATACTTTAAATTATATGAAAAACTTAACAAATGATGCAAAAAGTCAAAAATATAGAAGGTGTAAGCAATATAGTCACTATGCAAAGACATGTCAAAATGTTTAGATTATATTTGTTATTATATGTATAGTTTAGCCTTTATCTGTCATTGCCTTTATTGTGCATTGATTTGTTATTAATAAGCCAGTGTTCAAATTTTCTCCTGCATTTTCCTTTTTTTTGTTTTTTTTTTGTTTTTTGTTCGTCAGTTCAACAATTCAAATGATTCAGCTGTTACCAACAAAAGTGAAAAGTGAAATGTAATTAACAAGGTAAAGTTCACTTCTCTCTTTGATTTTCTATTGTACTGTATTTTTATATTTCTAACAATCTTTATGATTTTATACATTTATTATTCTGAGTATTAAAAACCTTAACATTAATACGTTCATGTTAGGTTCCTTATTAATCGACCAAAAAAACCTGAATATGCCATACAACAGACCTGTTATAAAAAAAAAAATTGACATACGTACGTATGTACGTACGTATCTGGTATCAGATATGCACGTATGTACATACTTGTATAATAGATTTTAGTTAGAACACTATCTTGATAACTTTAAATATCTGAGACTTTAGGTAAGAGTATAACACCTGAGACTTTAGGGTATCTCTTCATAGATGCGTGCACTTGTATTTTTATTATAAGGTAGCAAGCATACTATAAGCTAGTAAAAAAAAGAGTTATTATAAGGTAGCGAAGCAAAGCTGACAGGCGTAGCGAAGCAGAGCCAACAGGCGTAGCGAAGCAGAGCCGACAGGCATAGCGAAGCGTTCTATAAGCTAGTAAAAAAATAGTTATTAGTAATATGCTAAAAATCTTGTGATTTAATATTTAATAATATAATTATATATATTATATGATATGTGTGTATACACTATGTGTACAAATAGAAGTTGTCTTATAAAAAATATTAAATTTTCAAATTACTATAAATCTAAGGCCATACAAACTTAATAAATTGGTTCTCATAACCTGGCTGGGTCACATTTCGCAAAATTCTTAAAAAAATTTTTGACTATATTTACTATCCGAGTAAAGTTTTTTTAGAAGTTTATAAAAATTTTTATATGCTTTTTATATATAAAAATTTTTTGAAAATAAAATTAAAAGCTGAGTTGCCAGGTCATTTTTCAAATTTTATGTTATAAAAACCAAAAAATTAACTTTGTATAGTCTAATCTAATTGTAAAAAAAAATTTTTTATTTAAAAAATAATTTTTTAAAATAGTTTAAATAAACCTGTTTTAAAGTATTACAAATCTAAATATAGTTAATACATTTTATATTTTATATAGTAAATTATATGTTTTTATATAATAAATTATATAAAAAATTATTAAAATTAAATTACTTGTAACTTCTTATATATTAATCCAATTTTAATAATTTAAGTATTATTAAAATCAAAAAAACTAGCTTTATAACATATTAAAATTTTAAAGAAATTTAATCAAATCAAAATTTTGCTATTTATATTTTTTAAAAGGTTTAATAATTATACATACTTGCATAGCTACGCATCTCTATCATGTAATTAAAATATGATATTTTTCTTTTTATTTTTAACTTATTTTTATTTATTTATTATTTAATGTTAAAATAAATGTTCAAAATATTATTGCATAATAAACATTTCAAGACGATGTTAAGCAAAAAATATTTTTAAAAAATTATTGCTTAACGAACATTTTCAAAATGTTGTCATGTAACAAATATTTAAAAAACCTGCATTCAAATCTATATAGCTAAACTATACTAAATATAACTAAACTAACCTAACTTTATTGCACAACTACAGTACAACAACAAAATCAAGCCAAACTTTATTCTAGCAATAATACAACAACTAAAATAATATCAAACCAAAATTACCCTAAATTTCACTATACTATTAACCCTAACAAACTAACTATGACTAACCTCACTAGCTTTAACCATAATTATCTAACTAACTATAGCTGAATTAAACCCTAATCCTAATTGCGACTATACTACAAAAGAAAATCATGCCAAAAAACAAAATTAAATAATAATAAAGCAATAAGAACTATAACAATTATAAAAAATTATCAACTCAAAATCACCAAAATATAAAGCCAATAAAGAACAAGCCATAAATCCAAAGATCATTAACAATGAATTTATCAGAATATTGTATCAATACAACAAAGCTACAAAGCTATAAATCACTAACAAAGAATTAATGCACCAATATGACGCAAGACCTATGATTAGAAGTAGATCTCACCCAGGCTCTACGAAATATGATTCTGGTAATATACTATATGAGGAAGTACAGATAGATTGGCTAGTAGCACTATACCAGAAAAAGAACGTTAAGTCCTGGGTAGCAAACCAGTGGCAACAGTAGGTTTGGCTTGAGATACGGGTTAGTAGTACCTAGACAGATAAGTGAAAAGGTCCTTGATCTGGCAATATAATACCAACTCTGTCATGTAGCAAACCTAACTAGGCACCAAGTTCTTGGCTTGAGATACGAGGCTGTAAAAAGTCACCTGCACCAATTACAGTTGTACTAATAGGATCTGTTAGGAGATTTGCGGTGGATTGTATTTGCAGGTATACCAATTTGGGAGCTCATTAGAAGTGAATACTTGATGTACCAACTTGGAAGTTATAACTAGTCATGTGAGATATGAGAGGAATATGCAGTTACTAGAAATAGTTAGTTGGGAAGCACAAATCTAGGTGATACATATGTGGGGCATGGACCATTCTAGTAGGTTTAGATCATAGATAAATTAGTCTAAGTCTCTGTAGTTCATAAAGTTAATGTATATGTATATGTAACTGTTTATCGAAGCTATATATTAATAAAAAACCAGAGACGTGACCTCATCTTAATATTAAAAAAAATATATATATATTTATAATTGCAAGTTAAAGATAAAATAATACTTATTTTTTATATATATAGTAGAATTGCAGATTAATAATAAATATATATTAATTAGTGATTTGTCACTTAACCAGAGAGAGCTCATAGTGTAACATGATACGGTTTATATATAGAAATTAGTATTTTTGGAATGTGAGCTGCTTCTATCTAAAACATTTTTTCGTACTAAGTTAATCACCTTTGGGCCTCTAATTGAAGTTGTAGAACTTATCAAGATGAATCTAATAGTAATTAAATTGTCAAAATTGGCTTAGTAGATCACGAGATATCTTCAAAAAACTTTTTGCTAACTATGTAAAATTCTCTTGATGATACTATTGTCAAAAGAGAGAATTTTACATAGTTAGTGAAATGTTTTTCAAAGATATCTCATGATCCACCAAGTTGATTTTAATGATTCAACCACCATTAGATTCATTTTGATAAGCTCTACAACTTCAATTAAAGGCCCAAAGGTGATTAATTTAGTATGAAAAAAAGGTTTAGATAGAAGCAGCTCACATTTCAAAAACTCTAATTTCTATATGTAAACTGCATCACATTACACTATGAGCTCTCTCTGATTGAGTAGCAAATCACCAATAAGTATATAATTATAATTGTTTGTTAAGATTTAGTTTAGATCACATGTAATAAATTTAATCAATTAGATTGTATAGTAATAAATATCGCTAGTGATATTCACTACCAGTGAGCTTTAGCAAAACTCTAATATGTTTGTTTGATTTTATATTAATTTATTATTTATAAGATTAAATTTATTTATTAGAATTTTTATAAAATAAAATATAAGCTTATAATATTTTTTAAAATATTTATTTTTTAATAATTGATATTTAAATAATACTAATAAATTATATTTTTATATATATTTAAAAATTAAAATTGCTTTAGACTTTTAATTTTTATATATTAGTTAGATATTTAATTATAATGTTAATAAAATATAAAATAATTTTATAATATAATATTCATTGAATATTCAGTGAATATTCGAATATTTATTTAAAATTTTTAATAAATATTCGAATATTAAAAAGATTGAACAAATAAATATTCGAATACAAATTTTTTGACTGGATCAGACCTCTACCCAGTTGCAAGTCCATTTCTATTGTACTATGCTTCGGAAATTGAGTTACAATAGGTCAATGATCTTGGCGTACGTACCTATGTACTGTATGTACTGGATACTGTACTGATGAAGTTAAATTCACTAATTTCACCAACTCATCGAGTGTAAAATCACAATATCACCTGAAAATATTAAAGAGGTGAGTTAATTTAATTATATTAATGTTTCAGATAGAAAATGAGGTATCAGTTCCCAAATTCAATAAAAATTTTTTCGCGTTAAATAAGCGGTAATTACAATACAATATAGTGTAGTATATATTCAATGATATTACTGTGAAGAAATGTCTAAAGTGAATTTACGCGAATGTGGCCAATACAATAATAATAGAAATTTTTGTCATGTGATTCATCACTTATCAGTTATCTTTAATAATACATAGGAAATTTACAGGTTCACTATCATTACGCCCGGAAAAAGTTTTAAGATATACAGTATATGGGGTGTCAATAGAAACCAGGCGAACTGTTTTTAATGAGGTTTTCTAAAATTTTAAATTAAAATATTTTAACAACTATTTAATCAAACTTGATAAAATTTGTTTGATTTTAATTCTATAACTAAATAAAATTAAAATAAAAAAAAATTTACCAAGTTTGGTTTAATAGTTGTTGAGATATTTTAATTTAAAGTTTAAAAAAAAATTACTTAGAAATAATTTGCTTGGTTTTTATTGGTACCCCATATATGGGAGGTCAAAAGTAGAAACCACCGAATTTATTTCTAAGTAAATTTTTTCCAAACTTTAAATTAAAATATCAACATCTATTAAACCAAACTTGACAAATTTTTTTTTTATTTTAATTCTATAACTATATAGAATTGAAATAAAAAAAACATTTGTCAAGTTTGGTTTAATAGTTGTTGAGATATTTTAATTTAAAGTCTGGAAAAAATTTACTTAGAAATAAATTCGGTGGTTTCTACTTTTGACCTCCCATATATTCAATAATACTATTGAAGATTTAAATAACCATATTATAGAAACGTTGAATGGTCACTCTGGTTATCTGACACCTGGATATAATGAAATCATAATAAAATCGTTCAGTGCAGACATTTTTTTAAACATTTTTAATATAAAATGTCGGTATAACTCACTGTATCGACATTCCGAGTTTTTTTACTAATGTCGATATACGTGTATAAAACGAGGTTTTTTTATATATTGTTTTACAGAATAGCTTACATAGTGCATATATTGCCGATTCGGAACTTCAATGTCAACAACACTAAATGAAGACAGAGAGAGTCTTTGGAATTTTGCTATATATACTGAGTATTTATATGATTATAATGTAAAATGTAAATGAAAATTCAATAAAAATCAAGATTCTTTAAATACCAGACCTTGTAGCTTTGTCAAATAGTGAAATAAAATACTAATGCTTTTTAATAAACGCAACAGTAAAGTGTTTAACAACAAAAAAAAGTAATTACCACTTAAGAGGAAAAAAGACATCATAGCTCATATGAAATTTCATACGAAAAATTTTAACATAAGATAGAGCGTGACATACCCTCTGATCGATAAGAATAAATTATTAGCAGCAGCAAATGTTAAATTTTCATATTGAAATAGATATACCTCAATTCAATGAATTACTTCTCCATTGAAAAAGCAATCGAAGGCATATAGTATTAATTTTCACAATTTATCGTACTTTTCAAATTACTGTGATTGGCAGATGATCACTAATCACATGGAAATCTGTATAATTATCTTAAATTCATTTTTTTAAAAAATTGTCACTTAAAAAGTCACAATTCCAAAGATTCCTTGTCAAATTTCAATTCTCTAGTATAACATCCATTGGTGTACTAGATCTTGCTTTGTTTAACCATGTGGTTATAAAAATTTCCAATTTTTTTTAATTTTCTTAAAAATCAATATGTATTTTTTGATGCAGCTAGTGTTGAAAATTAAAATTGTTTTAAATTAAAAAATATATAATAATAGATTAATAAAGTTATTAATTTATAATAAGTGCCAAAATTATTTATTTGACAATATAATAAACTGATATTATCAAAAATAAATCGAATAGATTATCGCTCTTTTCATCATAATACAAGCCTGTGATTGGCTAAAATTATCAATTAATTTTACTCAACGAATTTCTAGTAGTGCATATATTTTTTTCAAGCTTTGAGCGAGATTTCTTAATATTAGCCTAGGCATTTCGATGTTCAAAATAATTTTGAATTTTACTATCCCGTATAATTTGAAAATAGCTCAAAATATCAAAATGGACAAGACATTGAGATACTTTCGCTCAAGGTTTGTAAAACTTTAAGTGAGTAAACTAAAAACTTTTTATCTAGTTAACCAACTGACTGCATACTAATGAATGTTATACTATCGTAGAAAATTAGTATTTATTGAGGTGTCTTTGAAATTGTTATTTTAAGTAGCAATTCGTAAAAACAATAGTGAATTTAAAGAAGTTTTGCAGATTTTTGCGTTATGTGTGGTCACAGTCAGTGTTGGAAATCTAATGTTCTCAACGTTCTTGAGAACATTTTTTGCGAACATAATATTTAAAAATTATGTTCTCATTCTGAGAACATAAAATTTTTTAATTTTTAATATAATTAATATTATTTTGAGAACATAATATTTTTTTGAATATAGTAAAATTTTATTAATAAGAACATTAACTCTAAAATTTATGTTCACAAAAAACAAAAAAAAGATTTCAGATTTCCTTCACTGGTCACAGTAATTTGAAAAGCATAATAATTCGTACATTTTTTGTAATTATTATAATTTGAATTCTTAAAATTTCAAAATAAAATAAGGGTGAAGAGAAGAAAGACAGAATTTCTATACTACAGTATTTAATGTAATTTCAAAGATGCCTTCACCTTATAGTTCTTTTTTATGCAGTAAAAAAGCAATCTGGCATTATTTATTTTGACTCGAAAACAAGTCTAATATTTCCATTGTTATTCAGCTATATCAATAATCTGCTCCTGTATATTATTAGACGCAGTATCAGAAAAGCAGAAATAAAAGAGAAATTTTGAAAGTTTTTATTTATAGGTAAGAAATTTAGATTTATTGGCAAAAAAGTTATAAATCTAGAAAATTTTGAAAAGCGTGATAATTTGAAAAATTTTTTCATTTTTAGCATTTTTCATTCGTGTGTATGACACGTGAAATTTGATCACAGTAATAAAGCATAATAATCTACAATAACAACTCATCTAACAATACATCGTCGGGGTTCAATGTGCGATACAATTCAAAATTGAACTCATGATTAACAAAAAGTTTCTGGCACATTTTATCAATAGCAATAATGCTTAATACAGTTTGCACATATGCATCAATTAAATCATCAATACCCAATCCAGTAGTATCAAACTCTTTCTGGTCAACTGTAATTACTCTTTCATATTCTTCTATCCAACTAGAGTCTAATTTAACAGATACATTTGTTCCAAAGGCATTCCATGAGTCCCCTATTATATTTAAAATAAGTTTGTTTCAATTAAAATTAGGCAATGTATATCCAAAGACAGTACAATGCAAAGATAATCTATGTAATTGTAGCTAATAAAATCACAAGATCATGTGTAATCTAAAAACATTTAGAAAAAAAAGAAAAATCGTAATTAATTAAAGAATTTACTATGCAAACCACAGTTTTAGTTATATAAGCGTATTAGATATCGATTAGTAAATAAATAAAAGCACGTATTAAATTCTGATCTTTATGCTCTTTCAATTAATGATCGAAATAACCTGGCACAGATTTCAGACATGCATCAATATATACAGCCCACATAAATTAAATATTAACTTACAATTGGAATTATTTGGTAGATAACTGGATAGTGGCTCACGAGCACGTCATGAAACAATAGTCACAGGATGAAATCCGGTCTCATCGGTAGTTACCATTATTAACAAAGATTTGATTATTACAATTTGGTATAGTGCCAACATGGTAGAATTTTTCAGAGCATAATTCTGTAGACCATAAGCACTTTCAACAAGAGATTGTACAATAAATTTTTCGTAATGATGATTAGTATCAAAGAATTCTTTTAATTCTTCTGAATTGGTGATTGTGTAAACACCATGCCCTAATTTTGTAAAAGATAATTAGACCCGTGCTATTTGCAATTTAAAATATAATAATCAATTATGTAAAGAATTATGTAAAGAAAATATTTACCACAACTGCCATAGGGAGATTTAATCACCACACGACCACCCATCTTTTCGATACACGAATAAATTTCGCTCTTGTTTACATTGTATACGGTTTTTGGAAAACGAATAACAAGCCCACTTCCGGAAAGTTCAGTATTAAATAATTCAAATGATTTTGCTGCCATAATTTTGTTTTGACCTCCAGCTAAACATGAGATTATATTATTAAAGACCACAGTCTTAGATTTTAGAGGAAAATAAATCCAAGGTTTATGACCTATACAATTAAAACATGCTCTAATAGGATGCCAAACTAATTATGAAAAATAATTAATAGTAAATATTAGTCTTGCAATTTTTGATATTATAGTTAGTAATTGTTTGATAATAACCTTCATCTTGATCTTTGATATACATAACTTTATTCTCCCACTTAAGAAGTTCATATTTAGCAATATCGTAAAGCATTACAATCCAAACATGCTCTTTAGTTTCTTCAGAGATTGCAGCTGCAAACCCGGTTGCTTCTGTTTCATCGCTAGTCACATCATACAATATAGCAAGCTCTCCAATAGAGGGATCTGTACCTTTTAGAGCTTGTTTAAATGCTGTTTGTGTTATAAACTTATATCCATTATGTCTTTTATTTATACCTAACGAAGGCATTGTGACTTGTCCTGCTGGACTTGAATCGGATTCAACAACAATCATTTGTCGTTTACCATTTGAATCAATTACATTAAAGAAATCAGAAGCTAAGTAATATAGAAATATATATTATATACTATAAGAATAATTAAAACCAAATACATAGTTCGTAATATACATTTAACGTAAATCGAAGTAATCACCTCCCCATGTAAAAAATTTTGGTTCATACTCTAAACAGTTCCTCAAAATCTTTGCATCAATTTGTGGATTTAAATTTTTATATCTGGTAATAATTCGATCATTTCCTAAACTGAAAAAAAGAAGATACAAGAGGATGAATTGTTGCATTGAGTACTTTTGAAGCAACACATAGTTCCAGCTTAAAATCCCCTGGATACACTTTCTTTGTTGGATTATTAATAGACATGGTGTTGATAAAAACATTATTCTCTTGCTCTTTTTTCGTACAAAGTCTTTTATTTGTATCAGAATTTGAATTATTCATTGGAGGTACTGTATTCATGTTGTAAGTGAGAACGGAATTTAAGTGAATCTGAAATTTCTTTGGTAAGACTTAGTGTGCAGGCATATAAAAAAATTACAACCCACGGCATGTAGTAACACTGTCGTATATTGCGACTCATATGAGGCAATGCTATTATGAGGTAGCCATAAAAATGTAATCGCCTGACCCGTTTCCGACCTATTTAATAGTCCGAAATTAATACAGATCAAATAGCGATAACATTTACATTAGGGATGGGCAAATTTTTTACATAATATTTATGTATTCTTATGTATTATTATTTAAATTTTTGCTGCAATATGTAA